ATTGTAAGTTTCAGTGGCAGATTTTCCAAGTTTTGTGAGGAATTTGATGTTAGCACGTTGTTCTGCATTAGCACTCAGCATTATTCCGACGGAGCTCAGAAACACGATCCGCTTCTAACAATGGTCGCGGCCAGACTAACCGATGCACGTGAATGAAACTTTGTGTGACGGTAGAGGGAAGTCCAAGGGTCAATGCCCTACCCTCCTCTTCGTCAATGACGTGGCCGGAAATGAGTCATAAAAGTAATCCGGTTTCTTTATTGCCACATCTTGTATTGTGTGAACTATCCTAGTTTCTGATTAAATGTCCTGGTACAAATTTAAATGCAACATTAACAATCATAAAATATCTCCATATGATCCTAATATGATGTTCTGACTAACTAAATGGAGTAGAATCCTTTTCAAAAAGCCAGCAGTCTCTGACCTATTCAATAAATTCCTTATCTGTTATGGAAAATGAAGGTTCATTATGAAGTTAAAAAAAGCCCACTAGTGGCTTTTACCTTGAGGCAAATAAATCCGGGCAACACCTTCCCACTGTGTCTTTAAGATTGACTCTAATATTACCCTCCAATTCACACCTAGATATTCAAAGTGGTCTCCTCCCTTCAGGTCTTCAACCAAAACTCTGTATATATTTTACACATGCACAAACATGAGTGTGCTCATGTGCATGGACGTCTAATCCTGTAATGAATGCATGCACAAACAGATATTATGGGTCTTCCTATTTTTAGACACACTCTTCACTACGAGGATTTTATACATAGCATGTCATGTGATAATAATTACTTATTGTTTTTAACTTTTGTGGGATGTCGATGTTCTAAGCAACAACCACGTAAAACTATAACAGTCGTATATATTATTTTCAAATGTACAGAATGGCTAGGAAGCTGTCTCGATATATATGTATGTTGTTCACAAGTTTGCGGGCCCTGAAGAGGGCCTTTTGTTTCGCTGTGCATGCGCTAGTAGTAGTGTGGGCCTTCCTTTACGGTCTCTGAGCGGTTACGAGCAGGCAGGACAGTGGCGAACCTAGTGAGATAGTCCAGGCCTTCTTTATGGCCACTTGTCAGTTTCGAGTTTGTGTGAGAGTGGGGTCTAGCTGGCCTGGCGCTGTAGTGCATCCACTGGTGTAGTCCGCTGTCTCAGTGTTGTTTGCTGGAGAGCTGCTTCCTCGTGACATCAGCATAGCTGAGACATCATTAGGGAAGCCACTGAGATCGAACTCCATTCCGAAAATATGAACAGGGAGGGGGGCTTTTGTCTCAGCAAGTCATGGAAGCCTCTCATGTTCCCTAAAAAACCACCCAGGACATGATGCCAGATCCACAAGGCTACACAGGCCACGGCTAACTAACATAGCAACCCCGTCCCCCCAACTAAGGGTTAGTGGCCTCCCTTTAACCTTGCCTTTCTCTCCCCTGACACAATATCTTACACAAAACCCTGCTCCTGTTCCCAGCACCTTCCCCCTCCCACTCCACTGATTTCCCATGTAGACTTGCCCCCCCTCCCTTTGCTGCTCTCACATAGCTGTGTTTATTTCCAACACCAGTCTGCTTGTACCGGTTCTCACGGTCTCTTCGCTTGCGGATTTCTTATTTTTCCTTCTACCCTGAAGTTGGAGGAAATATGTTCCTCCGAAACATCGGTTAACACCACATCTCCACTGTGCCACATCCCAGAAGACTACTTTCTTCGTTGTATTTATATGTTTCATACGATTCTGGCAATCAACAATTATTACCCTGAACAGCAACAAACAATTAGTCTTTGTAATGGAGATGCAGTGTGTGTCCTGACAGGTAGTGTAATTGGCAAGCATGGCCAGCTATTTCTATTAGTAATATTAAGTTGAGTGACTTACATGTGTTGCACATGCTGGGAATCCAAAAGATGGAGGACCCCATTCTTGAACTCTTGTGGGCAACTTAGGCCAGTTCTTGCAGGGAAGGCTGGAAGCACTGGTTGTCTTTCTTAGAATTTTGTGAAGTTCAAAACCTCAGTTTTTTTTTGAGAACTTGAGATTTGACGGGTTTGTGCAGTCATTAGTTCTGGAGTAGGTGTTTCTTGAACTGATGCTTTTGGGATTATCCACCAAAAGCCTGTCTGTCATGCCAGTGATGGCTTATGGTTGAGATTTCTCTGAGAAAGGTAGCTGATCGGGAAATGTAAAAATGTTGAGACCTCATTTTCAAAATGAACCAATGAAGGATCTCAAGGGAGGCAACTAGTGGCAAAAGCTGGAGGTCTTGAGGTGTCTACCATCTGAGAAGAAGCAACTTCTACACAGAGTCTGTTCCCTGTCTTTTCAAGTGGAAGGCCACAGAATCTGCACCCTTCAGAATTACTAAGTTAAGAACCACTTAACTATTCAGAAACTGGGATATACTACTTATTAGCAAGAACCACAACAATTTATTTAGCCATTGTGTCTTAATGGTAGGCACATTATATTATTACAGTGGATTCCTGTAAACATATGCGTAACTATCAGTGCCAATATATATGTGTTATTTGATAAAATCTCTCTGAGGTATGTCTGCTTGATCATGATATGTGCATGTGCAACCATGTTCTTTCTGTCCTGTTATGACCTAGAAACCAGATCTCTGGCTATACCAATCCCAGCCAAAGCTATTCACCACCCTTGCCTGACCTTACCCAAAGAACTGCACAAATTCATAGCCACCAGACAGGTATCTACTGGTGTCCTTCCATCCTTCTGCCTTCCCAGTCTGTCACTATGACAACCATGAGGAAAATGTGGGGAAAAGAGGTAAGGACGGCAACCCAGGCAGAGGAATCATCAGCATCATTGTCAGAGGAAGGCCATAGTTGTGTCCAACATCTATAGACTCCAGCAGCAGCAAAACAAGTCCAGTAGAGAGCAACTACAATAGGGACTGAATTTTTATATTATATTTAGATGAATTTGAGGCTTGAAAGAGTTAATAAAATAAAAAAATAAAACATAGAAAACAGGCTGATACCAGCAACTTATCTTTTCCTGTGAAAGAAAGAAAGGTCCTGACAGAATAAGAATCAACACTGTCCTGCAACAACTGAAGGTACTCACCAAACGCTGGTGTTCTAGATCAGCTTTGTTGCCCACCATGAGCATTGGAAATTCATCTCGATCCTTCACTCGAAGGATCTGCCGGTGGAACTTATACATCTCATCAAAGCTTGCTTTATCTGTCACCGCAAACACAAGAAGGAAGCCCTCTCCTGAGCGCATGTACTGCTCCCGCATTGCGCTGAACTCCTCCTGTCCAGCTGTGTCCAGAACTACCAGCACAACAACATAGTAGTTAATACACAGGACTGTACTTATGTGCACATACTGCAGGGCTAGACAAAGCTATGAATCACAAACTCACCCAGGCTTACAATTAGTCTTCTGGGATGTAATAATGTGTATTTACTTATAGTTTATTTAAGATTTATTTAATGAAGCTGTGAGCAGCACAGACTATGGCTTAATGGTAGGATTAACAAATGACAAATTGAAATGAACATCGAAGGAAGCAGTAGTGGCCTATTTAAAGGTGCTATTCCAGCAATTGCCTTAACAGACTGTGAAAAACCACAATTGTGGGTCAGGATAGTCCTAGGTGAGATTCAGGCTGCCCCATGTCCACAGTTGGTGGAGAGGTACCAAAGTTTGGAAGCAGCCTACAGTCTACATTCTAAGTTGAAGATGGAGACAGCACATTCTTCCAAAACAGATACCAATCTAACAAACTACATGATGTCACACTTCAGAGACTATAATCTTGATATTCACTGCGGGGTGAACCTCTGCTATCATATGGGACAGGCATATTTCTCCAATTACTTTGCAAGTACAGCCTAATATATAAGATCGGAGGTTTCCATGGAGATGAATGTTTGCATTGCAGCCCTCTGGGTTATGAAACCATGTAGTCTTGTATGCAGGTACCAGTGTTTTACAGGAACATACTGCCCCTATTTTCATGGTACAAGTGAAAGTGACTCAAGTGGTTCATTTTTACCCTGAACGAGAGTATGAAAACAACTCATAGATTGTGTAAGATTTGAGGCTTTCACGGCGGTGACTATGAAGAAAGCAGTCTTCTGGGATTTGGCACCGTGTATAAGTCTGCTTTTACCGTTCTCACGGTCTTGTCGCTTGCAGATTTCTTATACTTTTTCTTCTACCCTGAAGATGGAGGCGATACGTTCCTCCGAAACGTCGGTTAACACCACTTATACACGGTGCCAAATCCCAGAAGACTGCTTTCTTCAACTCATAGATTCATACCACTACTCCAAGTACTTCAGTTTCCCCTGCCAATCTTCATTCCACCAAATTCTCCATCATCATAATCACCCAGGGTAGGCTACAAAAGGCCAATCAGTGGCCGCCATGCCGAGTGGACCCAGTTGGAATTTCATACCACTATCATGTAATTTTCAATTTACATAACACAAGATTTTGAGGCATGATTACAATCTACCAGTACCTAGCTAACTACCTGAGACTAGGCCGCGCCATAGCTCAAGCGGTTAGTCGCTGGCTTCCCACCACAGCAGCCCCGGTTCGATCCCGGGTCTGGTTAAGTGGGATTTGTGGTGGACAAAGTGGCGCTGGGGCAGGTTTCTCTGAGTACTTCGGTTTCCCTTACTAATCTTCATTCCACCAATTGCTCCACGATCACCCTCACATATCATCTGAGGCTGGTACAATAGGCCAGAAGTGGCTGCAGTACAAGGGACTTAGTCCCACCGCAAGTACAATAGACCACTGTAGGTCACGGTGCAAGGGCCGAGAAGGCCAACTCCTTATACATTCATTATACATACATTAGTCCCACCCCACTAGCATTAAAAACAAACTACCTGAGAAAACATCTCACTAAGCAACTAAACAATCTGATTAAATCTGTGGTACAGAATCTTCCTCAGGCAAAAAGGTTTACCTCTGTCACTGTGCTTAATTAGTTGAGCACTAAGCCATGAAGACATTTTGGGGAGTGGAGGTATAGCTCCACCTTTCTTGACCATCTATGTGACTCTGACTAAGCACAACTGAGTCCAGTCGAGTCACTAGGTCAGTCAGTAGCTGATGTGAGCGCCAAGGAGAGACAGAAAGTGAGTCAGCTACACCAGGTCTTCATTGTATTTACTGATATGAACCAAAGGAGTGTGGGACAGGGTGCTTTTATGGACTTCACTTCACACAGCATGTTCATGGCCAACTACTGCTTGGTGAAGTCTGCTGCACAGCCATGGCTGTGCAAAATCATCAAAACAAGCATTGAACTTGAGTGTACACCAATATGGTGGGCATCCTAATATTCGGGTTCTAGAAATACTGGACACAGAAACTAGCACTGCTGAAGTCTGAATGTCATGCCATCACAAATAAATATGCAGAAGTAGCTTCTGTAGAGTAACAAGTAGAGTTTCAGTGACACTGAAAACTTTCCTGGATGCATACCGGCTGAAGTGGGGGGAAACCCCCAGGAATATTCCTGGTACTCATTTCTGTTAGAGGCTGAGTCAACCCCAGGACCATAGTGCGGCTGAAAGGATTAGGTAAATTGAAGAAATCCACCTCATCGGGATTCAATCCCATGACCTTCTGGCTGATAGCATAGTGGCTCAACCAATTACACTACCGCGTGCTCCTCAAAGGAGAGTACGAGTTCTGAAATACATGAAATGGAAATCCAGGGTCATGAGACAGTAAAACATGGTAATTAGCTCCACGCGACTCAGAACCAAGAATGATCATGCTGGTGAGGGCCAGCAGCAATTCACCCTACCACACAACTTAGGCTTGAACTGTAACGTTAGCAGCCGCTACGTAGCAACAACCAGTCACATCGGAATAACATTCGGGAGACTTTATGCTGGCTGTAGTCGTAGTGACATACAGGATGTGTAAATCAGCAAGACTTAAAAGTTATTTGTAGTTACAAATAATAAATGTTCAACAAATCCAAAGTCTGGTCACAAACATGTGACAGTACTATAGCTTAAAAATACAGAATAACATGGAAATGTGTGAGCGCCTTCATGAGGATACACACAATTTCATCATCTTAAAACAATATTTAAAGGAAAGCATAACTTTCTTTTGTGCTTTATTTGATGCTGTCAGTTTCTATACTACACAGCCCCAAATGATGGCATGACTGATGAATGAAGCACTGGAAAGTATTTGGAAGAAATGGTTGTGTCCCAATCAAGGTACTATCCTGACATTTGCCTTGAGGGACTGAGAAAAGCCATGAAAAAATTTAGTCAGGGTAGCTGGTGTGCTGGCTGAGATGTAAACTGAGCACCTCCTGATTATGAGTCTATATAGCATTAGTGCTAGACCAACCAGTTATGTGAAGTAACTGGCAAAGGAAAGGGCCTTACAAGATAACTCACAATAAGACAGTTCAGACTGGAGGACGGAGAGGAGGAGAGTAGAGGACAGTTGGTCAAGAAACCAAAAAGGAAAGACTGTGGGAAGAAAGATGTGACTTTTGCCCACCAACCTGCATTAAAAACGAAATGATGCTAGAGAATGAAGCAAAACTAAGATCACGTAACAGCACAGAACATCCACGTAAGATGACTCTTTGTGTACTTATTCATTATGACCAGTACGTAAATTGAGTGTAGTTATTTGTCCTGTTTACCCTGTTTGTTCCTGCCTGTCCTAGACACAGTGACTGTAGACAGATCTGTTACACACATTAGCTTATTGCAGCACTGAGCATAAAGCAATGTAAACGTCATGCCACAACTGAGTTAAGACGCAATTCATTATCACAGGAATGTTTAATAGATACAGCTCTAGTCCCATCTACAGGTGGCTTTTTCTCATTGTACTGAACTGATTCCATGAAGCACCGTATATTTTCTGAAGCCAACAGTTGCTCAGCTATTCAACAAATTTTGCAATTCTTATGGAACCCAAAGAGGGGGCACGCGATAGCGTAGTTGGTTGAGAGGCTATGCTACAAGACGGAAGGTAGCGGGTTCAAGTCCCGATGAGGTCATTGGATTTTTTCAATTGACCTAATCCTTCCAGCCTCAATGTGGCCCTGGGGTCAACTCAGCCCCTAACAAAAATGAGTACCAGGAATTAATTAAATAATTTTCCTGGGAGTAAAGCGCAGCCGGCACGTAAGGCTGACAACCTTACTGCCACCTTTGAGCCAATTGTCTAGATAGCGTGGGACCCTCAACATCTCACAACCCTATGGGCTTTCACAGCCTGATACAGGGATAGCTTTACTTTTTTTTTTTATGGAACCCAAAGTTCATTGCAATGTCCACAAGAACCTATCCCTGAGCACTATTTCAAATTAGATTAATTCGGTACACACCCTCCCACTCTGTTTCACTAAAATCCATTTTAATATCTTTCTCCAATCTACTCCTAGGTCTCCCAGGTTGTATGTTCCATTCATTTATTAGTACAAAAATGTTGTATACATTTCTTACCTCTACTGTACTTTGGATGAGATTAAAGGGATTACCATTAAACAACCCTTAAACAGCCAACTATTTGCTCTACTCTGCATTCTCCCATGCATACTACATGGCTTGCCCACATCCACCTTAATATGATCATTCTAATATGTGCTGAAGAGCACCTTTCATTTTCTATATTACTGTTAACAAACATGAATGACTGAGTTGTTTAGTAACACTGCTTGTAAGTATATACTTCACACAGCATCAAATGCGACAGAAAGATCATGAATGGCGAGTTTATTTATGGTTCATTTAATGATGCTGTCAGCAACACAGACTCTGCAGCACTGAATGGTAGGACGGCCGTTGAAATAAACAGGTATGTATGTGGATGGAAGCAGTCGTGACCTTGTTTAAGGTACTATCATGGCTTTGACCTGATGGGACACGGGGACCAAGGATATCCATGAAAAATCTGTCAGGACAGCCACTCTCCCAGCCAAGATTCGAACCAGTCAACCCCCACCTCAGCAAACTTGCTCAGTTGTGAACAGTCAGCATGCAATAATTTGGAAGGAGTAATGCTGCCTGTCAAATATAACATCTTGATATTTGTTTACAGTTACTGAATAAAAGCACAAAAACCTCAGGCAGGGTAACTTTAAACCAGTCAATATTCAAACTGAGTACCTCCCAAATACAGATCTGGAATACTTCTATTACACATACATGCCTGACCCAGTAAGGACTGAACCCACACCCCAATGAACATCAACCATGAGGTCTATTGGTAGACCAGTTGATTCATTAACAAAAGCAAATAACTGCATTGTGTAGTTAGTCAAATCATGTGCTGAGTAGCAGTTTTCTTTAAATTTAATTCACAAACAATAATAGCCAATCTATAACATACATATATGAAGTAAATTTGTTTCTATACTTAATTAAGCACCACACCATGGAGACAGATAGGGGAGTGGACGTATAAATTCCCACTTTCTTAGCCTCAGCACCAGATGGAGGTGAGTGCTCAGCTTCATGCCTTGGCAAATTTACCAACTGAGTAAGAATCCTCAATACACACTGAAGGCTGGATGGACCCCAGAGGTAGTCTGGATACTGTGGAGAAGAGAAAAATTTTGACCCTGTCAGGAATTGAACCATGACTCCTCAGTGGTTCAAGCCCACAGCTTATCACAATACTGACTGAGCTGTCCTGAGTGCCATATATACTTTACATTTTTTATCACCTCATTTTGGTTAAAGAAACATAATGTTTCCAAAGCTGGCTCTGCTTTAAACCTACTGTTGGGTCAATTAGATGCAGTCAACCCCAAGACCAACAGTTCCATATAATGGATCCATGCCTTCCACCTGATATGGAGACAGAGTTAGATTCCATTTTTCTTTTGTTAACCAAACAAGGATGTGCAAAATATAAAGTAGAAACAAAACTGACAAAGAAAAAATTGCAATGTCTCAAGGAGGAGATCAAACTGTCACAGAGTCCAAGAACAGCTGCCTTAGCCAACAAAATTAGTCCAGTAAAATTATCTGTGTATGCAGTTAACCATCTGATACAGAGCTAAAGTCCTGTGCTTTAATGACAAACATGAGAGTGGCATATCTAATCTCACTATGATTTTGCAATGTGGAACTTGCAATGGGACCACAGTAACTCCACAACACAGTGCCTTTCTTAACATTATCCATCACACTGGTCAACAAATTTCCTACCTTCACAGAACCCAAAAATTCAGCACTATGGAAATCAGTCTTCTGGGATGTGGTGCCATACAGCCTGGTACATGCTTACCAAAGTTTCAGAAGAACCTGTTTTGTTTTCAGAGCATCTTCCAGATGACATGACATCACGTCCCAGATGAGGGTAACCTTCATGGTAACTACTGTGGTATTAATGTCAAAGAGATGAAATAATTACCCATACTGAATATCCACAGATAAAAATTAAACACTTAGGCTTATTATTAGTCCAGTGCCTTCAAATTATAGAAGAGTTTTGTATAATGCTTGGCTGGACCAACGACAGGCCTGCCTGGGCCAGTTTTTTATGGAACCAAATGACAACTGTGAAACCCCCATAAACAAAGTCCTACATTTCATTTGAAGTGTAGGATTGATAAAAGGTTAATAAAGAAATGGGGAATGAAAGGTCACAGTGCAAGGGCCAGATTATTATGGCCCACCCCTTATGCATGCATTCATTCATTCATTACCAGCCTACAAATGACTCCATCTTCTCAGTTAGTACATAATTTTGGCTTTTCCTCAGAGATAGTGATGTCAGTTTTTGGTTTATCTTTGAATACCATTGTAAAATACTTCTGCAACACCAGTACTTGCAGTGCAACTCAACGGCAGTGGCGTTGATTTTTACAGAAATAATCCTAATTCCACGTATATTAGTGCACCTTAAAACACAAGCCCAAATCAACTAAGTAATTCAAGTTGCCACACATATCCATCTTCCACGGATTTAAGGTTTGTAACATGGCTGTGCCCTCTCATTTGAGAGAGGTGCAAAGACCACTCTGTAAGTCCACATCATTTTTCACAACACAGTGGTTGCAACATTAAAAGGTGGAAAATGATGACATGAAAAAAGAGAAAACCAAACACTACCTTGGATAGTGGACCATTCCTATCCCCATGATCTTGCTGAGTCACCAAATAGAGTTTTTTCTCTTAAAACCAGCCAACCACTTCTGCACATCCGGTGCGGTGACAGCATGACATGTAATTAAATTTGTATAATTACCTGACTCATCATCAACTCACAGGAAACAGGCACACAGCAGTATCTGACAGATACACTGCCTCACATGCACTGTTTACATGTATAAGGAACAGGAAATGGTGCACTGTTAAAGAAAGTTATAGGCCAATATTTCAGATGAGGGAAATTAATATAATTTACTTATTAAAACTTCAGGGAATGCCTGCTACCATTTGGCTCGGAATCATTTGTCTTGTCAGCCAGATGGAGATAAACGCACAATAATACCCTTATCCAAATACCAGGCCGAATTACAGGATGGGTGGATCATGCAGTGGGTGTGTATGTGGGACAGCCAAGAAATTCATACAAATTTCTGAGTGAAAGCCCTGCAAGGAAAAGATAACTTGTATGACTCAGACATCAGTGGAATGTCATACTGTGACACAGAGGCCCACTGTCAAGTAAAAGCTGTGTAAACAGGTGACAGTATAACAGCCGTTGCCAGGAAACAGCTCTGTGAACACATTTCCCCGTCAATGACAGAACACAAAATAATGGAAGAGAGATTTTCTGTGTGGTTCATGCTGAGGTGATATAACCAGAACTAGCAGTTCAGTTGTTGGTTGAGTCAGTTGAGAGTCATGGTTGTGAGAAGTGAGAAGCTGGTAGTTGAGGTTGGGAACAGTCTGGGAACCCAGAGGAAGGGGAAATCTGCTGTTGGTAGCCACTACAAAGCAACGGCTAGTGAAGACTGACAATACTTTATATATGTTGTAGTTACAGCAATTTTTGGTGTGTGTAACATAGTGAAACTGTAGTAGTTATTTGGAGTTATGAGTTTAGGAGTCCAATAAATCTTGTTACCAGTCCATACCTCAACTCTACTCACATTTACCAAGTGTCAATATTATAATTACATAAAATTGGAAGCTATCATGGCAAACAAATCACATGAGAACATTTTAGCATAGTATATTAATCCTCAAGACAATGCATGAGGATGTGGACAACATTCATTTGGCTCAGGACACCATGGAGTGGCAGGCTCTTGTGATCAGAGTAATGAAACTGTGGGTTCCATAAAAGGCACATTACTCCCTGGGTAGCTGAGTAACTGTTGGCTTCTCAAGAGGACTCGGCTCCATGAAGACTGTTATTTACTAGGACCATTTAAAACAGTGTAAAAGACAGGCAAGAAATTTATGGACCGATTTTCATCCAAATGAGATCTGGACGCCAATTTCACGAATGCAAATCTAGTAACAGTGGGACTTTCTTCAACTGCAAGCTTATTCTATGGACTTGGATTGCTCCTCCCATCAATATGGGGCCAATCCATGCGTGAGTACACTTTGTGACAGCGCTATGTAGAAAACTCACTGTTAACACTTACAGTCACCTAGATATTTAGAGGGCACTGGTCACGAGGTCTAATGCATGAACTGTCTCCACTAGCTCAAACACTGGGACCATGGGTTCAAATCCCACTTCAGGCATGGATGTATGTGCGCGTTTATTCTGTTTCTGGTGTCCTGTGTGAAGGTAGCAGCCTTGTGATGGGCTGATCTGCCCTCCAAGGAGTCCTACTGACTGAGTAAAAGATCAAGAAATTGAAAAAGCGGCCAAGGCCTAATAAAGGGCTGCTGAGCCACAGATAGATATTGAGAGGTACAGCTGAGACTACTTTCTCATTAACGTTCTCCAATCATAAAATTAAAAACGTAACCCACAAGAAAATTCAGTCATACTAATTTATCTATATTAGTAATAATATCGTGTCATATGAAAACTTACCAAACCTTTATTGAAATAAAGTACATATACTGAGTGGGTTGACAGAAAAGTAATGGTCATGACTCATATTCAGAAGGTGCTAAATTCAGATCTCAGCTGGGTCACCAATCATCCTCACTGAGGTCCTCTGTGGTTTTCCTCAGTCTTCATCCATTATCCTACAATTTGATTCTATACAGCATAGCTACTGGCAGAGCATGCACTCTCTCTCCTCCTCCACTGCTACTGATTGCTTCAAGTCTGGACAGATTTAATGATCGTCTGCTTGCGCCCTTATGCAAGACTTAGTAAGAATTTGGAGTCATGCAGACCAGTCAAAGGAATTTGAAGAGAAGAACTGTTCTACTTACTGTCCAGCTTTGCGGGCACATCATCGATGACACACTGTTTCGTGTAAGAGTCCTCAATCGTTGGATCATAATCCGTTACAAAGTAGCTCTGAAAATATTAAAACAGGAAAATCTATTTAACTGGTAATAAACAAAACTCTAACCTTGCAAGTATTATCCTCTGGCGCAGCCTGGCATGTTTAATGACGTTTCTGTGGAATACAGTGCCTCCAACTTCAGTTACAAACTAAGACAAACAAGCAAACCAGAAAGATGTATGCAGCAAGCAGTGTTTGTTGGTTGCTTCCATAGCTTAGTATGTGACTCTGAAGAAGGAAGCATTACGTTCCTCCGAAACGTCCGCAAACATCTACTGCATTATGGTGTGTCACATGCCAGAAGACAGTACTCTTCATAGTCTTTAACAAGATTACCCATAAATAAACTAAATACAATGCAAGGTGGAGTCCAAACGCTATACAGGGTGTCCCAGGAGGAATGGACCAAACTTCGGGAGGGTGTTCCTTATGTTAAAGTATGCCGATATAACCCAAAACACCTATGTCCAAAGTTAAACGGTTTTGGAGATAATGGCCCAAGAAAAGTGTGGTCTTCTGGCAGGTCCATGCACTGTACCTCTCAGCTGAGAGGCCTTATCTGTGTTTGTCCTTGAGTGCGGTGATACACCCTAGCCGTGCTTATGTAGTTGGCTTTATCAGAATGCGCAGTCAGTATGTTACGTCAGCGCTTGCCATTCATGTGTCATGTACTCGTAGTGTGCTTGGAAACCCTAAGGACAATTATGACACGGCGAGCGAGTACTTTGTACTTCAATTTTATGGCTTCATGTCACTCACAAGTTAGTTTGATGTTACGTACATTATTAACATTACAGAATCCACATATTCCTGCCAGTTTTAATATGTATTTTGTAATCAACAAGTGTGCAACGCCGGTCAAATTTTGACATTATTTACACATTACACGGATCTATTCTAAAGGGGCAACACGGGCAATGTCCGCATAGATATCATCTCCATGTGCCTGTCCTTCCTCGTCACCACCTACTGGAGATTTCCTAGGTCTTTCTTTATGGGGTGTCGAAAAGGAAGTGGAAGCCCCAAATTCGATATTTTTTCTCTTATTATTCTTCTGACACCACTTTCCGATACACCTGTTGCCTTTGCTACTTCCACTCCTATGTTCTTCACTGTAATTGTCGGCCCAGCCTCTTTCATATACTTATACACATTACTAACAATTTCTCTCGATTCTGAATGCAACACTTTTCCACTCAATTTACTTCGTGTAGGTGGCATGTTAAAGGAGATAGAAAAATGTTCAAATATAAATAAACAAAAAAGAAAATCAACGAATAAAAATAAACAATAAAACAAAATATCAATACAGTAAATACAGAATAATACACTCAAATATGACTCCAAGAGTCAAACTTTTTAACTTGACTGTAAAAGGAAGAATGCTTTTGACTGAACTTGAGATGTATGCTCGCACTGAAAACAAACGAATGACTAATCACAACACCCCTTAACTTTCACGAATGGACCTGCCCATCTACTGCGCAGCTTTTCCAGGACTGTCACTTCTAAATACCCGGGCTGTAGCTGACGTTGGAAATGCCCCGCCCCTTTCACTTTCTCACGCGTCTGATGAGCAAGTTGAGACTTGTACCCGGAAGCAGACAGGCTTACCGCTAAATACACAAAGAAGTAGCGGCGTCCGAGATTCGAACTTGGGCCTTTTATATAGGTACGTAATGGAGTACATCAGTCGCGAGGATTTACAAGTGATCCAGTGTCTTTAGTTCTAACATATCACCATTCTCTTTATGAACATCCGCGCATAACCAAGCAGCCAGGACAAAAATAATTGGCCTGTACTTACATCTGAAAACTATTACACCAAAGAAGTGACATATATACAGACGCAGATATTCTTCATATCAGTCTTGCTAGAGGGGGCAGCTGTCCTGTGGAGGTTCCGAATGTTATTTTACGTTGTTTTTAAAATACGCCGTCAGTAGCTGGAACTATGCAGCGCCCAATGGTAGGATGGTCCGTGAATAATGAATTGGAAATGATGTGGGAGAACGCGAGCTTTTCCTTGCGGGACTCAGGAAAACTACGAACAAACTCGGCCAGCATAGCCGATCTCAGGTCTGAGAGTTGAACCCGGGTTCCCCCTCCCCCCATACGAAATAACAGTGCTTCTTCTCGAGCCCGACGTTAGTTTTGAGGTTCCAATAGTCCATAGTACGGAAAAAAAAAAACTTTAACGTGTCCGGCACAAACTGTACGAGTACATCTGAATTAGCTTGATTTGTTTCATCCTGGTCCGTCAAACTAATAATATTACAAAAGGTTAATTAATTCCGTCCAGTGTGACTAATGAAGATTTTTCTTTTAATCTTTGATCCTTTACATGTTTCGGTCCTATAGACCCATCTTCAGAAGGATATCAATACAATTAAGGTATCCCTGTAACAGGCCGTGGAGGCCCATAGGGTTGTGAGATGTTGAGGCTCCCACATTTTCTAGACAGTCGGCTCATAGATGGCGGCAAGGTTGTCAGCCTTACGCGCCGGCCGCCCTTTACCCCCAAGAATATTCCAAGAATATTCCTGGTACTCATTTCTGTTAGAGGCTGAGTCGACCCCAGGGCCACAGTGCGGCTGGAAGGATTAGGTCAACTGAAAAAATCCAATGACCTCATTGGGACCCGAACCCACAACCTTCCGGCTTGTAGCATAGTGCCTCAACCAACTACGCTACCGCGTGCCCCATCAATACAATTAGAAACCACCATTACAATATGTTTTGTGAGTGCTAAAATATACATACAATGCCATCAAAATAAAATGGTTACAAGATCTAATGTTTTTAACAACTACAGCGGCTTGTACTAATACGTTACAATATTTATAAATTACAGTTAGTATGTTAAAAATCTTGTTAAAAGTTTAAAAACTAAATTGGTTCGTGTCCTTTTTATTACTTCTTCTCTTGAAGGAAGCCGTACCGCCTTGTAGCTCTGTTGTTTTGAGAAGAGGATTCTTTAGTGCCGCCCTGTTGATGTTCGAGGCGCGCTGTGTTGTTAACCTTTTATAATATCTAAATTATTTCTAAGAAATTTGTTTAGATTCGTGCATACTGCGTATGTATGGCGGAAAATGATTTACAGCGAACAAATCACGCAGGATGAGACGGCTGAAACATGTAGCACGCATGAAGATGGGCAATATACAGGTAAAGTTATCCCTGAGGGTGTAGTGGTAAGATCCATCATTCTTGACCTCAGCACTAGTTGGAGGCGAGTGGTCAGCTTCACGCCACTGCCGCTCTACTCCCGGTACCCACTGGATGCGAGGCTAGGTATGTCCCTCAGTCGGTCGAGATGCTGTGAAGAGAAAACCTGATGGGAATCGAACCCTGGTCGTCCAGCCCATAACCCGTCGTTATACTGACTGGACTATTCCGATTCTTTGAGGAACATAATATTATAAACTTTTAGTTGCATAGCTTGAATCACTGGGATCGCTTGGGAGAACTACTGTACCTGGGATAATATTGGAACAGCGTGTCAGAGTGTGCAGTGATTACAACATGCTGGCCAAGAACTGCATTACTGCTGCTGAAAAGCCCGTGCCACTGAGGATAAACTTCTGCATCGTGATCTCCCGTACATGTTCACACAAATAACCATTTAAATGCTCGAACGGCCATGGCACTGTTAAAACTGACGCAGCTATTTACAGACGGCATTTGTTTTTAAGATATGAATGAGACCTAGTAACTGGTGCTTTACATCAAACAAATCAGATATGATGCAGTAGCATGAGCAATGAATTACTGTTTGTGATAAAGGGATCAAATTGTGTACTATGTACAAAATCAAGTTCCAAAGTTACTGTTGTGTCGCTGAGCTTCAAGGCCGATTTGTATCACCTTGCGATTCATGCGTGACGGACAAGATCTGAGCGCTGCGACGTTCACATTTTTATATACGTCCATAAAGGTGTAACGAAAAAAAAATGATCGAGCGAAACACCAAAACGGAGTTACACAAAGGCAGCCATATAAAGTCTGCAGGTGCATAGAACTGTCAAGGCCAACTGTTTTTACATCAGTCGATCATTTTGATAGCCGCGACCTACAGTTTCGCAGAACCAGTTTCTTGCACGGTACCCACTTTCATCCCCGCTGTCCATAATGGCGTACGAACGTAGGAGGGACGTACATGACGTCACTGGTTTGCGTCACCATTCCGTAGCGTCCAGAGAACAGAATCGTTTCCTCACTAGGATTGACCCAGTTTCACTGCTTGCCTGCGCCCACACAGGACATTAAGCGCTTCACGCAAGCCTATAGTCGAAAGCTGGTCGATTTTGAAATTTTGCTCACGGGATGGGACGCTCTTTGGATTCCATGTGTGTGTGTCCTCTGCACATGCAGAAAGGGTGTGGTGACCTCTGCTGCTTTCCGAGTATGGAGGTTCGGAGAAAGTCCGGCCAAGCCTCAATCCGGTATTTGTCATTTAGCCAATAAAGGGCAAATGAGAATCGCACAGACTAGGATGGTTTACAATGTTGCCTCGATACCGCGGTATGAAGAAAAAAGGTGAACAGCTGGTAAAAACACTAAAGCTGACACCTGTTTACATCTCTCCACAATACAGTCTCAGTAGGCCTCGTTTAGTTCCGTTTTCTCACATATTTCAAACCAACTACATCACTCTCTCAATTCTAACACCATCCTAATCCTAGGAATTTTCTTTTCCTTCTCTTTTTTTTTTTTGGTGGTGGTTAGGATTTTAAGACGCTATCAGTATTTAGCATCGAAAGGTAGGATGACTGCTGAACTGAATAGATTTTGAGTGGCCTGACCACATTATGGTTCAATCCCGGTATTTGTTCAGAAGGTCTGACGCAAACCATGGAGGCCCTCAAACCCGGGTAGCTGGTGCTCCGGCAAAGATTAAATATGATAACCTCTCGAATAAAAGACGAGAGCGTTACGTTTATGCTAATCCGTTCCGGTCTTTCCGAACGTCAAACATCCAATCACTGTATTAAAACAAGAACTCTTCTAA